GAATTCGGGGCAGATCCAGAGATTTTTGGATTTTTGGGGTTGGGGCAATGTGACATGCAAAGAACCGGGGGGAGGGGGTTAGGTTTTTGTTTTAATAGAAATGCCTAAACCATAGGCACTATGGAATTTTAATTGAAAATTAGCAAGTTTTGAAGTAGGACTCTGGTACCATGATCCCTTCTTTCTACTTTTTTTTTTTTTTTTTCTTTTTGGGTGGGCCTAGTCTGGGTTTTTGTCCTGGGACGTATTGGTACGTGAAATCGGATGTAAAGAAGGGGTGGGCTTACAGTATTTAATAGCTGATTATAAAATTACCTTTATAATACTCTTTAAACCATGCAAACTACATGTATACTAATACCTAAAAAATGATTTTTAGCTCATACCGGAAGGTATCTTTAGTAAAATGTATGATGTGTAAAAAAAGAGTTAAGAATTAATCACCAATCAATTTCAGGGTCTATGCCAAAAATGAGTAATAAAAAATTGTCCATACATTATTATCTCATAGAAGCTTTTCATTTTAATAAAGTTTATTACATTTCAAATTGCCTGTAGAGGATGTAAAATACAATAGTATAAATACTGCATTATTATTTAGTCGATCATATAGACTACAGTTAGTGGCAGCGCCAGTGGGGAGAAGCTCCCCTATCAGCTACAACTCTTTATATAGGATATATAATGACGTCTATAAGTTTTGTGTACAAAATATAGTAGTGTATTTTCCCATGAAGATAGTTATGCTGTAGTTTGTAGTTAGTGTATATTCACCTTTTTCTCCAGATCAGTGTGGGTAGATCAAGGTCATAACTAAATTCTCTTGTCCCATGGGTATGTACCATACTCCTTTGGACTGCTTAGATTTAAAATTCATTCCTCCACCTGTGCGATAAAGAACCATGTCTTAATAGTACACAGAGATGAGCTAAAATGTCGGTATTAAAATATATTTTGATCTTCCTATGGTGCAACTTCATTAAAATTGAATTATATTATATTTAATTGCTCATTTAAAATATTCAATATACAAATAAGGAAATTAAATAGTGCTTTTTAAGGGGTTTCAAGGGGTTTTATTTAGTCAAAACAGATAATATACAGTAGCTATAAACTTCATTCATATGGGCATATTTCTACTTTTTGTTTCTCAGTTTATGAATTCACCTGATACTTTTCATAATTGTATCAAAATCTTTAAAATTACAAGTGCTACATCTTATATAAATTTTACAGTAAAACTCTGTATCTCTTTAACTGTTCCAGAGTTTTTTGCCAAATGTCCTTTTTGTATCTTAGAAAAATCAGTTGTATAACATATCAAACAATTTTTTCCCTCCGGAGCCTGTTTTTGGTATTTCGGCTCTGATAACTGATTTTACAATGCCTTTATTACTGTAAATTAATATAAAAATTCTGTACGCTCTCTATGTTTGCATTCTGTATCTCACTTGTATTACCAACAGGAGTTTTGATTTTGTCAGTGTCTCATCATTTCTAGAAGCAGCTGAAACACATGGAGAGCCAGAACATGAAAGTCGCAAAGAATCACTGCAGTTCAGTGCACACACAATGGCTACCTATGATGATCATAAATTTTAGTTGTTATATTGATATTCCCTGTATCCTGGTAGGGAATCAATATCGGTTTACACATTTTAGGCATCCTGTAGTTATAGTGACCACCTCTTAAAATATCTCTATACCCTCTCTTGGACCAGGCCTGTTGCCATCAAGTTGTTTAATGAGTTTGTGTAGTAAATATATATGGTGATATGTTTCTCGTTAAATATTACCAGAGAATGGTCATAAGCAACTTTGTAGAACAGGTAATAACATATTTTTGTGGAAAATCATACATAGGATATAGCATATCTAAGAACAAAGTAGAAATAATGGACAAAAGGTCACTCAGAATTATGCAATTTCAAACTACATTCTTGAAAAACTATATATGGAGAACCACCCACTTATTAACAACTATTACTTTTTGGGAGAATTTAGTGGCAACATATTTTTATGTTTGGAAATTTAATTAGAAATCAAATTTTTTTTAAAATGTTCTTTTAATAGGGTTGTCAGTAATCTAGAGGAAAATATATGGCGATAAGCCATGCCCCAATACAATTTTTTTTTTATAAGAACCAGTAAAACTTTGTCCAGGCTTAGTGTTCTTATTTTTTGACCAATTTCAGGCTTAAAATGTTCTTATTTTGTTCTTATATTACACACTTTTCAAACATACATGTATTATTGTACCAGTATACACTGTACTGGAATGTAGGTAAAAGTGCCCCAGGAAAAACTGGCGCCGAAAAGAAAGGACACTGAAAAAACGTCCCTAGTAAAAATGGCCCCAAATGACAAGTAGGTATACACCTCCTGTACTGTATTATAGAGAGTATTACATAGTCACACCTACCGCACATAAGGTACAAATATATTTTTTGGTTTTTCTATTTTTTTAAAATAAAAATCTCACTGGACATTTTACCTCAGCCTCAATTTGTTCTTATTTTGTTCTTAATTTTAAGCAATTTCAGCCTCAGTGTTCTTATAAAATAATAATAATAATAATAGTGTTTTCCAAAAACCGAAAGGTCCAATGATTAATCTCAGATAAGAAAGTATAATAATACTCCAAGTATTGAAATACACGCCATCGTGTTGGGATTCAATATTTCGACATTAATTATGTCATCATCAGGAATGAAATATTGAATCCCAACACGATGGCGTGTATTTCAATACTTGGAGTATGTATTATACTTTCTAATAATAGTGTAGTTTTATATAGCGCACATATCCATCTAATGTAAGATGCTCAGGGCGCTTGAAATGTGGACTAGGAACTTGACCAATGACTTTCTTCACCCCTAAGGGTCCCTTCGTGTCTGTGCTACCCGGTACCAGCAACTTTCGTCGTCCACCACAGGGGCTGTCTGTTCCAGTACACCGGGGTAACCCCCTACTCGTCTCGAAGGATGTACTGGGTTCTTTATAGTGCACACAAGCCATTGTATACACTGGGCCTACGGTTTATAGTCCTTATCCGAGAAGACTTGTTCTACCACCAGAACCATAGGCGAGTGTGCCATTCGAACCAGCGCTGATATTATGGCTATAGCTTGTGGCGTCCCTGCTAACCGCTCGGCCATTCGACTCACCAAATGTGTTCTTATGAAGAAAAAAAAAGTGTAGCCCCAGCACAGGGGTGACTATCAATATCAAGCTTTGTGATCAGACTTTTGGGCTGCTGAAAAAAATGATGGTCATCATCATCAGAGCTTATTGGAATTTCCCTGACACTTAGCATCATGAGTTAGAATTCTGAAAATGTTTGTTAATTTTTTGTTTTCTGAAGTCATGTTGAGAGTTGTCAATCAGGTTCTTTGGTAAACAAGTCACATACCAACACAAAACTGATCACCACATGTCATTTAATGATTGCATGCTGTGCTCAACATCACATCAACAGATACATTCATATTTTTTTCTCTGGATAGGCACGTTTGGATTTAAAGCTCTGTGAAGGCTTTGAATGTTTTTTATGCCATTTAAAATCCCAAAGGAAAGGTTTGTATTAATGAAAGGTATCATCTAATGTTGATGGTGACATGATATATCTGTAAGCATGTTTTTATGACATTGATAAAAGCAAAACATTTGAAGTATGTTTGGAATTTCGGAGTGCTGGTATCATATTGATTGATATTGTTGGTCAGTATTATCATTGATACATTGTAGAGGGTTTTAGTCATGTGATCACATTTCTTGGATATTAAGTTGTGAAATGGATGGATGGTTTTTAAACTTATAAATTCATTTTTTATAACTTTGTGTTATATATGCTTTGGTCATTTTTAATAAAATGAAAATATATTTTTTTATTTTAAATTAGAAAACATTTTTCATGGTCAAAATCTAGTTGATTCATTTTCCACTGCTATACTAAGGGCCTGTTTCTACTGGAAAGAAATAATCGATTAAAAATTGCTTTTTCGAAAAATCGCTTTTATTCTCGCAGTAGAAACGGAACCAGTTTGAAAAAAGCGATTTAAAAAAATTGATTAAAAAGGCCTCTCCGCTCTTTTGGGCCTACCGTTGTCTTCGTTTGGCCGCTCGTTCATAATTGTGCCGGTGCCGATGAGCACAGCCGAAAACATTTGCCTTCTCGCCCCACATCGTATCTGTACTCTTCGTCATCATGACACGAATGAGAAAGATACTGTCCTATACAGTTAGGAAAACAATGTGTTGTATAAACAAAATGGTGACGTAATTTCCGTCACGAAAACCGATTTTCGAAAAATCAAAAATGCAGTTGCAACGCCAGTAGGCTGTTTGGTACTCATTAAAAAAAAAAGGTTTTAAAAAATCGATTATTTTGTGTTTATCAGTAGAAACACACCCACAGCAATGCACCCATTGCTGAGCAAACAGCATTACATATTTTAAAGTTAGGTACATAAAAACTGGTTAACTTTTCTGTTTATCAAAAGTGCATACGCATAATTTATCACTTTCTTTTACACTAAATCATCATGTAACAGAAGTAGTCTGTACATACATTGTAACATCAATGTATACCATTAAAATATTTTCACAGTTTTATAGCATAACTACATTATACCATGAGAATTATTATTCATTGTCGAATGGTTTTTTATGTACCTTCATGTATTCATTTTTTTTAAACTTCTGCACTTTATGTATATATTTTTTGTTTTAGTCATCTGCCAAGCAATTCCATTTTCTGTATTTTTATACAGAAATAAAATTTCTTGAAACTTGAATACGATATCATATAGTGCTATAATACCTCCATGGTTTTATAGTATTTCATACATTTGTAAACATTATTTAAGGCTCATGCATTAAAAATATATATTCTGATATGATACATTAATTAAAATATTATAGATCATCATTGTCTACCATAGCATATCATGTTTGCATTGATATAGTTAGATATTTATTAATTTTCCTTTTATTCACAGATTAAATGGTGCAACATTCAAGAGTTCAAGTTTGTGTGAGTGATGATGTTATAACACTGGTCAGAACGTGATTTATTTAAACCTCAAGCAAAATGGCAGACATTGGGTTGGGGACAAGAGCTCAAACAACTCTGACCAATGGAAGTGCAGCTTCTACCTCCTCTGAATCGGACAAAGAAAATATGCCGAGTACTATGTCATGTGACTTCGATACTCTATATCAAACTTTTCTAGAAAATGTAGCTCCTCCACCTGGACAGATGAAATCCAGGGATTCATCCTCGTCATCCTCTTCACGTCTCGACCCTTTAACTGAAAATACGCCGGTACGTTTCACAAGTTCTAATTCCAATCCTCATGCTACAAGTGCAGAGGACGGTAAAGGTATGCAGCAATTAAGCAGACTTGTTAAAATGATGGAGCAGATGTGTGTGTTGACTGAACAGAATACAAAACTGCGGGAACAAGCAAATTATCTTAGTGCAATGAAAGACCTGGAAAAGTTACGCAGTGAGAATTTGAATAAGAAATATGATGCATACGGAAATTTCACTTGCAATGAGGACTACTACAGGAGCCCACATCATGTTGAGGAGGTCGTGTCTGAACCGGAAAGTATTGCCGGAGAGGATATTAATGCAGCGCGAGAGAGGAGCAAAACAAAACGCAAAGGGCGATCAACATCACGGAATGGGGTTTCTGTGAATATGAAGACACCTAGAAGTCAATCTCATGGCAGGGTTGCCGATGATGATAGTGATCATGCGAAAAAGGGAATTTTTAATTTTGTACATAAAATAACATCAAAAACAAAAAAGCAGGGCAGTAAAATGGAGGACAGTAAAATAAGCAAAACAAAGTATCCAAAAGGAAAGGATCATCTTGTTGAAATTTCTGAGCCATCAGTATATTTTAAAACTAATGAAAATTCCGATATTGAAGAGGTGTTTGATAAATCACAAAGCTATAGTGACGGGTATTTTCATACTAAAGAAAGCGACCTCTCAACAAGCTCAAATGACGAACTTGTAGATTCTCCAGGTAAGCCTACCCTTCAAAGAAGCAACCATGTTTTACGCGGTAAAAGAGTTAACCTAGCCCGTCAGACTTGTGTTACCCACGATTATACTGAATCAGGTTCTGACTACCACAGCGGTCACCGAAGAGCATTGTCGTTTGATGCAATTGAGCGTAATGACCGGGAACCAGATACTCATATGCGAAAGTCTGATACACAACCAGATATTCAGGTAGGATCGGCTCAGCTTGAACAAACCAACAAAGATAAGGGAAGAAGACTTGAAGGTAGAAGCGCATCCTCAGATATGCTGGTTTCTTCAAAACCAACTTCAAATGAGAAACGCGGCAAAGGTATGTGTTACATTTAATACACTGTCTCTGGTAAGATGTGTAAAAGCCTTTAAAAATGCACAGACCAAAATCAGTTTTGCTGATATGAAACTAGAGATGCTATAGTATAAAGCCTCATAAATTAATACAAAATAATTATTTTGCATTTAAAAGGACCAAATAAGTAGTCAACTATCTATGAGACAGATCAAAACTTTGCTGATTTTTTTCCTTTGAAAATATATGATTTTATTACCAGCCAACATTGTCAATGCAAAGGATTAGACAACATATTATATTATTTGTCAGTTAACTGGCAATGAAACTTTACTTCTAATTTTTAATTGAAAGCTACAGCTTTTAAAAATATAATTTAAAGCATCAATTTATTGTACTGTAGTTTTTTGTTAAATTACAAATTTTTTGTTAAATTACAAATATTAATTTGCATTTTGTAATATTATAATAATATTATTTTAAAGATAGATTATAAAGTTAGATTACAGTACACAATATAGATGTTATGAAGCTATTGAGCATGTTGTTAAGAATATTTGGTTAATATTGAGACTAGGAAATTGTTCTGTTTTTAGTAACCTCGGGATGGGATCATATAAAAGATTTTATTCGGAACAAACCACCGGGACAGTGTGATGTACAGTTAGATAGTCGAGAAGGGCCTATTGAGAAAAGAGCAACTCTGGCCACTGGAACAGATCTCAGTAAAGGTGAGGATAAATCATTTGTGAAGAAATTCTTCAATGATCAATTTTTGCCTGTTATAACATTGATATGTCATGTTGAATACATGTGTATAATTTAACCGTTACCTGTAGTGCATAGACTTCGGTGTTATAACAATCTAATTACCTTACTATTATTGCCCGTTATTTTTCTCATATAACAATGTGTGACCCGCTAAAAGTTATGTTCAGACTAGATCTCTTAACATGTTACATACTGAGATATAGCTAGCCTTGTGACAAAACATTTCGTGCAGTGGCGTAACACTAGGCCTGGGGCCCTTTTGGGTCCCGGTCGCCAATTCTGTTGTGGGACTTTTATTGTGTTTGTCATTGTATTCTAATTTGTTTTAAACCACGAAATAACTGATATATCAATGGCAGATCCAGAATTTGAAATAGAGTGGGCCCAGGGAGGAACTTTCACAGATGGTAGGTCCATACCATCTCAGCTCCTTCATGGTTGGGGCTTAGATAAGAACATTTAAGATTATGCCACCTCTAGATCACCGGAAATGGCACTCACAGGCTTAAAATTTGAATATAATTTTCTTTTTTTTATCTTATTTTATATCCGTCACTGGATATAATATGATATATATCCTACAGTCGATGTAAAAGAGACACATTATGCTGTTACTTATCAACAAAGCTCCCTATTGGTAAGGACCCCAGGGGGCCCCTAATGGTCGGGGGCCCTGCGGACTGCCGCACGAGAGCGTATAGGCGTTACGCCATTGATCTCATGACCTGACTTGCTCCATCTAACATTGGTTGATGTAAATTTCTGGAAAATTAAATTGAATTAAATTTATTAAGATTTTATTCTTATCGCATTCACTGATTTTCCGAAAGTACTTCTGAAAAAGAATTCTGAATAGGTATATATGTAAGGTCAAATAAAATTATTATTTACTATCCTATATGTTAATGGTAAACAGGCTGGTAAATTATAGTAAAAATAATAAATAATATAAAATAATTTTTATAAATTAAGTAAAAGGAATCTCTGTAAGGTATTTCTACCATTTATGTTCCCACCTCTTCTTACAGTAGGCTTGACATCATTCTTTCATATAATAATTTTTTTTTTATTGTCCATGGAAAAATGAATGTATTTTATTGAAAAATAGTAATTTTTGTCATAAGGCTCCAAAATTTGATGAGGGTGGGGGACGTGAAATTAGCAAATCATTTTATTTGTCCTAATGATGATATGCCTGCTATAATAATAATAATAATAATGTTAATTTTAAATTAACTGTATACAAATAATAAAATTGCTAAATTATGTTTTCAACATTTGTATCATTGCTAGATGCTAGATTATGTTTTTAACATTTGTATCATTTACTTATATGAAGGCAAAGAATATTTCTAACCGGATTATTCCGAAAGTTGTGAAACAGGCTTCATAAAGGGAACATTCATCATGTCTTTTTAGCTTTTTCAAATTTATACTAGCTGTCCTAAAATCTTGACAATATCTTTTTCCAAAAGTAAAAAAAAACAAAACAAAAAGAATTAAACAAAAATTTTGAAAAATCGTATATGAAGATGTGCAACCACGTGAAAGTGAAGTGGACTTCCTACGCAAAAAAAGTTGGCAAATCCTACACCCCCTAAGGACTTTACATGCTTTCATTGTTTGATAGGCTGCCAAAGATAGGGGCTTTATGTTTCCTGTAAGGCCAGCTCAAATTTAGTAAGATTCATTCAGCAATATTCAGAAATGCAAATTAAAGATACTTGAAAAGAAAGCAACAAAACGTCTTTAAAATGTTAAAGATGTATTGTCCCTTGCTAATGTCAAGAAACTATAAAAAATTATTTTGAAATCAACTTGCTCATTTTGCAATAACATACAAATTATTAACTTGTGCATAGAAATTATTGAATTTAAAATATGTGTACCCTGATTTTTAAACCAGAAAAGTATAAGAAAAAAAATGAAACACTTCCAGTGACTGGAAGTGTTTATATCATATTCATTGTAAACTGATGGGTTGACATTTTTTAAATACACTAATTGCTATGTTCAACTATTATGTTACTTCAAAATGGGCAAGTTAATTTCAAAAAATATTTTTATGATTTTTTTTTGGTATTTAGCATGGGACAATACATCTTTAACTTCATATACACATAAAGCAGACAAAGTAAGAAAATTGTAGGGTGAAATAAAAAAATTGAGCATTCTAAAACTACTACCCAATTTTAATTTAAATCATTGAGAAACAATTTCATCATCATTAGTTTAACCATCACTTAGTTATAATCTTTTTTGTTTGTGTTTTATCATGTCGAATGTGTCGATAAATGTTTTGGTAGGATGTTGGTTGTTGCCAGAAGGTATGCATTTAATATATTGTAGCACCTTTTGCCAAATAAAAGCACTTGGAAAAGGTTTATGGAGTTCAGGCACCTTATAGAGTTGAAAATATATCTTGCCATGATGTGTTTCTAACAGCCCGTAGTATTATTAGGTACAATTCAAACATTTTAGATGAGGAACGTGTTCAAGGAACTTTAGTAAGTGTCCAGTATTGGCTGTCTGCCATTTGAGATTTTACCATTATCCAGTCCAAACCGATAGTGTTTAATCATCTCGTCCGGGGGCCCAGAGCATAACACTAATGGTCTAAATAACCAGAGCGTAATAGCCTTATGGGATTGTATGATAAAATAGTGCAAAGCCCATCTGTTTATCCATTTTTAGGAGTGTAATGGGGATGAGGAAATCATAAACCATTACACACTACCATACATTATGTCTGGAGGAAATTTTTAAGAGACATGCATGAAGTATTGCAGTACTAGGTTCGGATGATTCAACCACATTTTATGCTGTCCACATCATTAAAGCAGTGTCTGCTGTTTGACAGATCCTAAGAGGTCGATTTCAGGTCAAATGTTAAGTCGCATTTCTCTGCCTGGGACTTCAGATCTGGTCCAAAGAAACTGTAGTTTCTGAACCTTGGATAGATATTGATTGTGCAAACAAATTATAAGTAAACTTGGTATTAGTAAATGTGATATTGGTATAAATAATTTATAGATTAAAGTCTTATCTTAATTAAGTGACAAGTATTACAATGTCCATAAGTTCATTGCTATCATGAGTTATAGAGTTCAGGATGTTTTCATTTTGAACATGCATGGAAGGATGAATTCAGAACTACCAAACTGATATGATGTCAATATAAAATGGCCCGTTTTAAGTATGTAAATGCTCAAATAAACACCGCTGTGCTTGTAAAATTTCCGGAGGCTTCAGTGCGGTGCTTATTAGAGAGTAGCGCTTGTAAAAAAATATTGGTGTGACGCTCTTCACGCCCGTTCCCATGTTGCCAATCTAACATATTCCCGTAATTCGGCCTATTATAGGTCTTATGTCATCGTAAAGAACCGTTTAATGAAATGCTGTATCTTGAATCTGTTATTTATTCATTTTTTAACATTGTATACATTGTATTCAAAACCCTGTTTCTCCAATGTTTCATCACACAGGGTAAATATAACTATCAACTTAAGTGCTCCGGCAGTTAGTGAAAAAAATACGGTTTGGTGTGGCACTTATTTGAGCATTTATGGTACTTAAGTAGACCTACATTAAAGTTGCATTCACATCAGATCTAAACTGAAATTCGGACCATGTCCCTATTCTCACATACTGCATCTATTATATCTTGTATTGTAACGTTTTGAAGTACTGCCTAAATGTATGCATTTATCATTTTTTGTGCTCATGATTTGTTTTATCAACCTGTTTAAGAATTAGTATTTTTTGTGTGAATAAGTCAATTTGTTAAAATTTTAATTTTTTTATGCATGTACAAATCATTACAATTCAGCCTTGTTCAGCGAATTTGATTTTAATAAACTTGAACTTTATGATCGTTTGGTAGGCTTTCCGATCTGAAAATTTGAATTTGGTGTGAATGCACCTTAAGGTCTAGAGAGTGTTTTGATACTTTATTAAACCATTCCATTATTGCTGCAGCTCCAGATGATTAAAGCCAAGCAAGTGATTATTTAGGAATCTTGCTTGACTTTCTAAAGAAACTGTTATTTTTACCTGAAGTACCTTAATCTGCTGGAATGTTTAGAAATATTTGCTCTAGTCTGTGAATTTGAAACACTACCGGTATTGTGAGATTAACTCTTACTTTAACCCGCTAAATATGTTTATATCTAAACCATCATGACTGTTTTAGAATAAAGTATATTGAAGATTCTACTGACGTATTAATTTTATGTACCATCTTGATCTATGAGCTCACCAAACTACAAACATGCATAAAATTAATATGATACCAGACATCTGGAAGAAGAACTAGAAACCCATTGTATATGTCATGATTATCAAACACGTATGTTAACCAAAGCCAAATATTAATTGTATTTAACCATTATGATGTTTGGCTGAGTAATAATTTGGATGCATATAATTTTTCCTTTTCATTTAATCTGAATAAGGTATGCTGTCAATGATAATGTTGTAACTAACAGTAGATTTTTAACCTTTTAGTTTAATTGTTTTTAAACGTAGAATTCCCTTCAACCACATGGTACGTTGCCCTTGGTGATACTAATCAAGCCCTTGCTCGTTCTGTCCCTGACAACGTCCGTAAGTAAAGTGTTTAAGGATGCATGGTGCATATCGGCGCATGTGTGATGGGATGCATGTTCAGGTTTTGTGGGGTTGTTTATTATGTTCACATTTTGCTATTCATCATTGGTTGTTTAGGGAAGAGGATTGTTGGAAGAAAGGTATCTAAAGGATTGTGGGAATCTAAATTGTAGTGATAATGGTGCACATTTTTATGAAGCTTTTGTATTAAGGTTATGATTATATATATTTGTGTTTCAATTCTACCTATTCTTTTCTGAAATGATTCTAGTGCATGTTTCAGTTTTGTTTTCATTGTTTATTTGCATGCTTTTTTCCATAAAGAGTTCTATATAAAACCTAAAAATGATATTCTCTATTGTCATTTGCAAAATTGTCTTGTTTTTTTTAAATACCTACTTTCTAATATTAATTATTACAAACTTGGACATATTCCCTCAGAATGGTACACACATGCACATTTTACTCACCCACACTACATAATACTGTAACATAAACATACACTATTAAACCCACACACTTGCACTGCCAATGTACAGTATATATTATATGAGCTCTGGGAATGCTTAATAATAATAATAAAAAAAGGTTGGGGTGAATCCTGTATTTCAGTTTGTCTACCATTTGAGTAAATGAATCCAGCAACTATGAGCTAGGTTTCCATGGAGTCATTGAAGGGATGGGGTGTGACATTTTGAGTGATTCATATTAGTATGAAAAGCAACCAACTGGCTGAAAACCATGAGGTCTGATGTGGGTGAATCAAGCATTCAGGATTGATATAGAGACCAGGAAACTATTAGCATTCTAGTTTTATGTCAAAAAAAAAAAAAAAGAAACTACTGTAGCATTGAGTTAGGACCAGCAAGACACATTCTAGCTTGTGAATAAAGTAACTACTGTAATGTCGAGTTAAAACCAAAAGCCACATATAGACTCCTTCATTCAAAATTTGATGGATTTTGTGATTTTAAGAGTTTCAGTATTAAAAAATCATTCACAACCATAATAGCATTAACATCAATTTTGTGTTCGTCTTGCCTTGTCACTACGTGGTCTGTTTACTTTTCCATTTAAGGAATTCTCCTCTAAAGGAAAGTCTTCTCTTTTTTTATCAAAACTTTCTTTCTCATCGTTTTCCTTCTTTTATTGTTTGCCAGTGTTTTCATCATTCAGTGTGTTATTCACTTTGTTAATAAACATTCTTTACTCAAATTCATCTTTGGCCATTTTGAATGTGCAAGAATCTCTCGTTTCCCATTTTTGCAATTAAATTTTGACCCGGTTATCACCACCAGATAAAGCAGAACTTTTGGCCAACAATTCCGATCCAATACAAAGTCTACAGATAAGTTTACCGGGAGACTTCAGCAAGTTGATGGAAGAGTGGGACCGAAAACGGTTAAGCGGTACTGGCAACAGTAATTGTGAGTTTAAAATATGCATGTGGTCACACTACTCAAATGCCTTAATGATATATGGAAATATGATAAACTATAATCACTAATTTCATACCTTAAATGATGGATGCTGGCAGACAAATGGACATAATAATAACAAACTCTGAATTATTAAGTATATTTTTATTTTCATTTTTTCCCCCACTGAATTATTTAGGAGACCTAACATAATGTAAAAAAAGGTCACAAAAGTGTTAATATGCATTTGTGTAAAATTCCCGAGATACACCTCAATAAAATTTAGATGTCTGAGGGGCCATTAAGATTTTAAAGAAGCAGTAGAGGAGGAGAGGCGATTTGACTCAAAACCAAACTGCTTGGAATTTACACAGCCTAACCTACAGTACATACTAAAGTTCTGACCTGTGATTCATTGTATTGTATTGACATGTGCATACATACTGTAGCATGGCCAGGGAAAATGGTTTTCATTGATCTAGATAGGCTTACAGTATACAACATATTTATTTACAGGATTTCCAACAAACATATAGATCATGGTTTTAATATTTGGGCTTGTTTGATTTTTGTAATACCTTACTTCCCTGGAAACAAGATTTATTTATGATTTATGGTAATTTGCTCAAGAGTTATGAGACTTGACTTGGGCAAAGCTTTTTATAATATTTTTACCTGGATTGAATGAAAGGTATCTCTTTAATACAGTTTCTTGCATTTTGCATTTTATGTGTACAGTAGATCAACTCTGATTCAAGCTGTAATATTCTTGGGAATAATTTTGCATAGTTTTGGTCTTTCATGCTTAAAAATGTTCTTCAAACCTCATACAAGGGTCTATTTTCTCTATAGGCCTACATTTATCTTTACAAAATCTTACAACATCAGTATGCAAGTACAAACTACTTTTTCTAAGATTAAATTGATATGCTGTACTGTAGAAACTGACATAAAACTTGGCTCCAAAACCTTTAAACTTTTCTCAGCTTGATACTGTCAGAATTTATTTATGTCGCACTAATTTTGGCATTGCATTATCTGCGATATCAGGCGAGACTCATGGAAAGAGATATGTAGCAAATATTAAGAGCACAAGTCTGAGTGTACCATAATCATCAGTCAAACAGCAATAAAATGATTAATGATGACATTGCAGAATCATGTTTAAAATCAGAATCGTGTACTATACGTTCTAAAATACTTTGGATCCGTACGTTACTGGCAGTGCCATTTTTAGAGGCAAGGAGCTTGAACAGCATAAATACATTTTAATGTCTCGGAACAGCGTAAAAAGACCCAAATACAAAATTTGTGTACGTGCCAGGGCTTAGACCCTTAGGTTGGATTCGGACGTAAACTCCATTACAAGGGTAATCTACTAATAACCTTGGGGCTAAATGTGACGGTCGTTCGGACGAGTAAAATAACAATCCATTTTCCCATTAATTTGACGGAAGTTACATATTTTACAAGCTTCTGCAAGGTCAGAATTCTGAATAGTTCGTGACCTGAGTGATGACCCCGTGTCAAATTAGCAATGTTTTCGTGGCAATTTCAATACTTCATACACGAATTTACGCTATTTCTGCTTACTTTTTATACAATTTACTCATTTCCTTGCGATTATCCTTACAAATTGACGCCGAATTATGATTAACCCAGTCGACCTAACTATCTTGACAACTTTTATATTGCTTCTCGACGACGGATTTGATCTAAACCAAGCTTTTCAAAGAAGAAAGTACAGCAACGACGAAGACAACGACCAGCGTGGAAAGAAAGCTTGGGCAACAACGCGAAGAATCATGCAGCGTGGTCGCGAGCTTCTTTTTGTCCAGTGCACTCTGATCCGGCGTTGTTTACAAATCTGAAGGGTCAACTTGTGACCTAGGCCTTGTTACGAGTGATTAATTACGCCTAGAGGCAAGGTGTAATTGAAATATCCAGTAAAAAAGGTGGGTTTTTGGGCCAGATGTTTTTCGAATTTTCTATATCCAGGGGCATTATTTAATTGCCGCATGCGACCGCTCAGCTGGTGGTACCCAGTTAAATTTTTCTCGTCCGAATCGGCCCTTAGATTCCATGGTCTATATGTTAGATTATCAAACCCCTTTCAACAGCTTAGATACATTAAAGCAAACTGTTGGATCATATGAATAAAAAAAACTTACACTAAGGATCAATAGTATTTTTCATATAATATAATAAATTTAAACATATGAAAGTTCAAATGTGTTTAGTAACATAGTAGTTAACTTTTGAACTTGTGCTGTGACCACATACTAACCCACTAGGCATTAAACAACAAAGATGCGAATAGTAAGCAATAGTTTGAATGGTCTTTGTTCATAACTAGTCTAAAAAATGTATGACATTTGCAAGGAGATTTTTGTTATGATGACAATGGACGGGAGGGAAGCGTAAACCCATCGAAAAGCCCTAACACCCTTCCCCATCCCCCCTCCCCACCAACCACTATTTGCACTAAACGAAAGGAAAATATTTTACTTTCGTATAATTTTTTTGTGCAACTTGCTGTCTCAGAATGCTTAAAATTTGCCTATGTGCCTGGAATTGTAAGTGTGGTGTGTCGTAGGACTATATCCAGGATTGCCAATTAGGTCGGAGGAGTGAGGGTTTCATTGCTATGGCAAACTTAATGGCCAAACACTGGCCTAATAATAGATTGCTCTTTAAATTGTAAAGAAGATTACCTTTCAATCTTCATAATACTGAAAATAACAAATTTAATATTCAGTATGTTCTTAACTATCTACCTTTTCCGATCCATCGCACCCCTTCTGCATAGGGCCTTGTTGGTGACCAGAGATGTTCTGCAGTGTCATTACAAATTTACCTCCATGCTGGAACCAATCCATCCTAACACTCCCCATGGTGAAGGTCTGTCATCTAACCATGGAGGTATAAAATATATATTTTATACCTCCATGATCTTACTAAGGACCTCTCACCTTGGCTGAGTTGACCATCATTTAACTGGCCTTCAACTGTGATTAGGTCCAGGGATTTATCAAATAATATACTGTACCTCAAAATGTTGTTTTCTTCCTGCCACTTCCCTGGACTACTTCCCTTATCACCATCTGTTCAATATCTGCATGCTTGTAGTATTTCACCACTCATATTGAGGGACAAATTTTGTAAAATAATGATGATTATAAGTCATCGTGACGTCATCACAGCAACTCCCAATGTTATTTTCCTATCCCAACCAAGCACTAATTTTGCTTTAGTGCATGGTTTGCTTGATCTTTTTTCGGTTTGTGTGCAAAAGGCCAATTCAACTCATGTATCACCATATTGCGCACCACGATGAATTCCAGGCTAGTGCTTTTACACCTAGCACTACGATGCGTGTCTGCAGAAAGAGTTTTCAAAAATAACATTTGTAAAATGAGGTATATTAGAACCCGAAGAAAGTCACTTAAATTTCAAAATTGTGTATGAAAAATTAAGGAGCTTGCTTCAATGGACCCTAATAAATAAAATAAATGTTTAATAGGAATATTTCAGGCCTATCTAGACCTATTTCAAAGACGCAAGGAACAAATTTAAATGTAGGCAGTAGGCCAAGGCCTAGCCTTTTAGAAAACAGCCGAATATAAGTATTGCTTGTTGTAAGTTTTAAATGTAGAAGGGTGTGGTGCAGCGTGTAAGGTGTTAGACTTTCAAACAAAAGGTCGGGGGCTCGAGACCGATGCTCGTCACACTGCTTTTGTCCTTGGGCAAGACACTTTATCTGCATTTGCCTCTCTTCACCCAGGAGTATAAATGGGTACCTGGTAGGAGGTGAAAGATTCGGAATGAAATTAGTAGTGCTGATTACACATGTAACTAGGAATACTCCCCAGGGAGTGGAGGAGGTTGCACATTGTGTGTGATTGATTCTGTATCAAATGACCAGGGAAAAATGGGCCTTGAGCAGTTTTCTGGATATGTGCGCTATATAAATCCTATCAAAATAAAATAAAATTTATTTTAAACTATTTTTTGTTCTTACTTTGTTTTACATTCTTTGTTTTTTATTTTATTATTTTTAGTATTAACCTTTTTTAGCAGCCCCTACTACACATTAATAACTAATGAACTTTGTTTTAAACTCTTTGCTTTTCTTTTATGGGGCCCAACAACACATGAAAACTAATAAACATACAGACTAAACATAAAATCTACTCAACTAGAAATAATAAATACAGGGTTCTCACCACGCTGGTTGGCGGTGGTCGGGCCGTCCAGCACTCAACATTTCCGACCAGTATTTTTAGGCTGCCGACCACCACTATTTTTGCAATTGATAGTGGAAAAAAATGTAGGCTAACAAAATACTTTTGCAGAAGTAGGGAGTAGGGAGTTGTTGATTAACCTGATTTTGTCAGGCGGGGGGAGGGGGGGTAGGGTGACCACGCCCCTGGGGTGGGGGTGGTCGCCGACCACCACTCCAAAATTTAGAACCCTGTGAATATATACACTATTTAAAAACAATTAATATGTTATAATGTTATGTGAACTACATTTTTAGATGCATTTTGAGGGCAGTTGTAATATTGTTATAATTTTGTTGATGCCTCAATTCACTGTAAGTAAACTGTTCACAGTGAACTTGCATATTATATAAAAAATGTTCGAAATATTTTTGTGCCAGTCAAGTATAGTAAATCATTTTGGTAAATTCATGTTGGCATGTTATATATATCAGTTGTGTATTTTAGAGAATCATATAGCAGCATTAAATGCATAGATTGGCGTAGAAACATTGTACAGATTATATGATACTGTATTAAATTATTTTTTCAATCATGTTTCAGTCATCCAATTCAAGATGTATCAAGGCCAGACTCAAAACTTGCCTTTTTTTCATCCATCTAATTGTTTTTCTTTTTGGTTGATGGTTTTTGTTGTTCCTTTTTCTTTGTCTATTTTTCGTTTTTTTTGTTTGTTTTATTCAACTTCTTTTGAACATAATTATGTTTAAAGTGCATAGAGGCCTAGTATTATGTGCTATACAAGTGTACATCCATTACCATTACCTGATTTACACCTAATATTAGTCTTATATTATTACCATTTGTTCTAGTACCCCAGATAATTGCATATACAATGACATACAGTATGATAAAAGAGCGCATGGTAGCTCAGTCAGCTTAAAACTGGTAGTAGTACCTGTAGATGTGATGTAATGTTATACCGAAGTCTGATCGAGAGCGATTGAGTTGTGGACTAGCTCTCAAAGTAACTTTCTTCTCCCATAAGGGGGGAGGGTTTTGATGCAGGTGACCACGCCCCCTGGGGTGGGGTGGTCGCCGACCACCACTCCAAAATTGAGAACCCTGTAAATATATACACTATTTAAAAACAATTAATATGTTATAATGTTATGTGAACTACATGTTTAGATGCATTTTGAGGGCAGTTGTAATATTGTTATAATTTTGTTGATGCCTCAATTCACTATAAGTAAACTGTTCACAGTGAACTTGCATATTAAATAAAAAATGTTCGAAATATTTTTGTGCCAGGCAAATATAGTAAATCATTTTGGTGACTTCATGTTGGCATGTTATTTATATCAGTTGTGTATTTTAGAAAATCATATAGCAGCATTAAATGCATAGATTGGCATAGAAACATTGTACAGATTATAAGATACTGTATTAAATTATTTTTTCAATCATGTTTCAGTCATCCAATTTAAGATGTATCAAGGCCAGACTCAAAACTTGCCTTTTTTCATCCATCTAATTGTTTTTCTTTTTGGTTGATGGTTTTTGTTGTTCCTTTTTCTTTGTCTATTTTTCATCTTTTTTGTTTCTTTTATTCAACTTCTTTTGAACATAATTATGTTTAAAGTACATAGAGGCCTAGTATTATGTGCTATACAAGTGTACATCCATTACCATTACCTGATTTACACCTAATATTAGTCTTATATTACTACCATTTGAACTAGTACCCCAGATAATTGCATATACGATGACATACAGTATGATAAAAGAGCGCATGGTAGCTCAGTCAGCTTAAAACTGGTAGTAGTACCTGTAGATGTGATGTAATGTTATACCGAAGTCTGAGAGCGATTGAGTTGTGGACTAGCTCTCAAAGTAACTTTCTTCTCCCATAAAGGTCTCTTCACGTCTCAGCTACCCGGTAAACCGGTACCAGCTATCCTCGTCTGTTCTAAACAGGGGCTGTATGAACCAGTACACCAGGGTAACCCCCTACTCGTCGCGGTTCTTTAAAGTGCACACGAGCCATTGTGTACACTGGGCCTATGGCTTATAGTCCTTATCTGAGACAACTTGTTCCACCACCAGAACGTGCCGTTCGTACCAGCGCCGATATTATGGCTGTAGTTTATATGTCGCCCCTGACTTAACTGCACGTATTTGTGTTATTCATAGCTTAAAATATTTTTTACCAAATTTTTCTCTTATACTTTTAGCAAATTTTTTATATTACCCTTTTTCAATTATTGTAGTACAGTATGGTCAAATTGCACAGTAGCACATCTTTTAATTCACTCCAGGTTTTACTAAATAGGCTAGCCAGCATTATTCTGTGCTGATATAAGAACAAACCTGTTAATGATCTTATGGAATCACTTAACTGGAAGTATGTAAACCAACAATGGGAACATAAAATTCTTATGACATTTAAATGCTTATCGGGCAATGTTCCAGAATATTTAACAAATTTTTACGAGTTAATTGATATACCTATCAAAAAAAAAATCCAAGAAGTAAATTGAAAAACACTTTGATCCTAAGCAGCACATCCTTCTGAAAAGAGTAAATAGCACCGAGTTTAGCTTTGAAACCAGTCATATTTATCTTCTGATTAACTGATCACAACTGCTGATGTGATGTGCCACTTGATTTTCTAAAGTGACAAAAAATGTTGTTATCATGAATTCAAAACTATCCTAGATAATTAACATTCATCCTAGTCAGTAAATATATAGTTCCCAACAAAGTCTGGCAATGATACTAATTATGGTAAAAACGATCATTATAATTGCATCAAATATTCAATTGATATTGTCCTTGACAGACATAATTAATGTTTAATTAGTGACATTATTGATTTTTGACAGATTATTGCTGTAACGTTTCTGTTATGGCACAAGGTATAGGTGTGATGAGTCAATTGATATTTGCTGTATTGCAAGCAGAACATTTCCTAGTATCCAAGGAATGCTTGCATAAATATCACAACTTCACACTTGCAGGGATCAAGCTAAACTGGCCAACCTGAACCACAGGCTTCTCAGTGCCTCTTTCATTGTTCAAACTACCTGGATGACAACATATTTCTACCACACTGTGCTTTGTCATGCGATAACATATTTTAGAGAGTATGATGCTGTGAAAATCTAAATTTATAGAATATAAATCCTATATATATTTTAGAATTTGTTGTGATTTTTTGAAATTAGTATTTTTGCATTGATAATGATGCATAGTGAATAATACATCTGGGTAATAAGGTAAGTATAAAGCATGTGGGAGAATTGCTGGTATAAAGTCATTAAATGGTGTTCTACAGTATATGCACTGTTTATGATTTAATTTGTTTTTGCCTCAATACATCGGACATGGGCTAAATTTCTCATTGATTTTTGAAATAGTGCAGCTCTGTCCAATGGAGCCTTTATGGTACTCTGTCACCATAATAGGCCTCTTGGTCAGATTTTTAAGGATAGAAAATCATGCCTGGATATTATTTATACAACCCTCTAATTTCCAAGGCACCACATTTTCGAAGTACAAACTAACAATCTTTAACCTTTTTACATAAGACTAGCCCTTATAAGCAGGAGATCAGCCCTAAGACCATGCTGACATTTCATGTCCCCAAGGCTGTCTAGAGTTAGAGGGAACTTTTGATGCAACAAATTAATATAAGTAGAGTAGTTAAATGATTCCACTCTTTCAATGTTACTGCCATTGTGAACAAGATCTTTCAAATTATTCAGTATGTGAGTTGTACCAAAAATTGATGCGTATTGTAGATTTGAGAGTGTAGCGGTTTTATGGAAACTAAGCTTTATTAAATTAATTCACTATAGACGAATCCAAGAAGAATGGCGCCCTCTTTTGTAGACGCCATTACTGGGGAGTCCCTACTTCTAAAATGGCAATGCGGTGTGGTGCATTATAAACTGATGGCATTATGCAGCTGCTAGTACTGTCGAAGAAAACAGTATTTCTCAACCACTACTGTACTGCATTGATAAACACAGCACAACATTAGATCTTCCAACTTTAGAAATGCCACCCCAGTTATGGCGGTGACAAAAGAGAGCGCCATTCAAAAAGTTCTCTTGGATTCGTCTATACCCACCTACTCATTCACAGTCATGCTATGTCATATTTATTTGTTCATTCTTTTGTTAAATCCATTCATTTAAATTAAATATAATTTTATTTCAATTTACTATCCTTTTAGATACAGCTGCAGAGAAACCTTCTACCAAAAAGCGAAAAACAGGAAAACCTAGAAAGGATAATAAATCGAATCGTTCAAAAAATGGGAAGAAAGATAAAACAGAAGTTCAAGCAACTTCCTCTGAACCTGGATATGGGAAATCATTGGAAAGGGATGGTCAATTGGATGTTGGCCAAGAGGTGGATATGTCCAAACTCACTCCAGATTTTAAGTTGAAGTTAAAGGAATGGGAAGAGAAGCAAAAAAAGAAACAACTTGTCCGAGTTAAGTCAGACAGTCAAGCAGACCAACAGACAAAAATGAGGTCTTATCCACAACGTAGCATATCCACTGATCTAGAGCTTGAAACAGAGCATCATACAAGCATGAGGCCTTATCCACAACGTAGCGCATCCACTGATCTAGAGCTTGAATCAGACCAACAGACAAAAATGAGGTCTTATCCACAACATAGCATATCCACTGATCTAGAGCTTGAAACAGAGCATCATACAAGCATGAGGCCTTATTCACAATGTAGCATATCCACTGATCTAGAGCTTGAATCAGACCAACAGACAAAAATGAGGTCTTATCCACAACGTAGTGCTTCCACGGATCTAGAGCTTGTTAGTCAATTTGACACAGTCCATGCAACACCAGCAGTCGTCCAATCAAATGAAGGTCAAGACATTGTGCCATCAGACCCACCTTCAGTTATTCAACCGTCCCCTGACATTATATCCATTGGACGGTCATCGCAAGATGATTTGGACCACACTGCAGATAGTGAATCTCAGAATAGTGTTCCTTCCATGAATATTGCTAGTGATAGTACATCCGTCAGTGAATTAAAATCTGAGGAGAATTTTGAAGATGGGATTTTACCTGATCTTGTTGACACAGCTGAGAGCCATATAATAAAGCTGGAAGAGATGAATTTATTACTGGCTGATGAGTTGCATTATAAAACAGCAAACTTACAGCAGATAACAGAAGAAATCCAAAAGATGCAAGAGGAGATTGCTCAACTTGGAACTGATATTTCTGGTAAGCAAAATCCTAAGTTACATATGTTGATGATTTTGATGATTATGATCCAAAAAATACCCCCCCCCCCAAGTTTCAACCAAAAATATCACATATTTTGCGAGCTAGCTCCTCTTACCTAATCATCAAGCTCTCCCACTTCACCTTCGCATCCCCTTCAGGGGCCCCCCTCCTTTTTCAAAACTCCTAGATACGCCATTGTTTATGACAACAATTGGATGATAAATCATGGCTGGTGATAGAGAGCAGATAATATTGATAATGAGGACTGGCAATCCAGTCTGAATGACATTAGTGGTGACAATGGCAATAGTGATGTAGATGATGATGAGGTCAATGGTGGCAGCAATGATAAGGACCACATTAATTAAAGAGGATACGGATGTTTGAGATCATTTACACAGAATTATGTTGTCATAAATTTGTATTCATTTGAAATCTTTCTTTACATCTTGCATAGTTTCAAACCAAATGAGTGATGCCTCTATGGGTGTTACTTTGGAGAAGGAACTCTGTAACATTAAAAGTGAAGTTACACAGTTGGAGGAGCGATTCAAGCCTGTTGATGCACAACAACCCACTGTCAATAAATCTTCTCAGGGTAAAATACATTATAGTATGTTTCTAGCATGGTAGCAAGCGACTTAAGCCTCCTGTGGGTAGGTCAAGTTCCCCATTTACAAGGGGAAAATTAAACAAATTTGGGCATAATATGTGCTAAAACATCTCTCAGAGTAGCTTAAAAAATCTCCAAACTGACAAATTGAATCTCCACCAAGTCTTCACCCCTAGACTTTGCCAGTCTCTGCCAGAAATCATCAGACCCTTTGTTGGACAGTTTAGCACACCGCTCTCTTTGGTTTTCTCAGTCCAATTTTAATTTCATATTCTGATTGTGGAAATGTGCCCTACTGCATATAAACTTACCTTTCAACCCTTTAGCTAAAAGAATATAATTAACTGCAGCTACATGGAACTAGGAAATCTGAGACTAGATGGTCTTCATGTTTGAGGTTATGATAATGGTTCATCACTTTTTTCTATTTTATCATTTTTGTGTTGTAGATGTATTGAGTGAGCTTTCATTATAAACTAGTAAACTTCCTTATTCCAGATGTTTCTAAGGAGACCCAAACAAAAGCAAAAAAAGCAGACGATGAGAAATCACTTGAGGAGAGTCTACGAGAGCGAGAGACTCTTGTGAAGCTGTTACAGTCAGAAATATCACGGCAGGCAAATGAGATAAATTACCTACGCAGTCGTCATCAAGGATCCAGAAGGGGAAAGAGTTTCTGTAGTAGTGATCGACCAGGGGTAAGGGGTAACAATTCAATACTTTTTTTTCCAGTGACTGTCTTGTTTATATTAAGCATCATCAATCACAAATAAATCCTCCAAAAAGCTAATTCCTAATTTAAAACTTAATGAAGGAGGCCATTTACTTTTGGTTCAAATGTATTATTCACAAAATATCATTCCTTTACTTTCGCTGAGTTAGAGAGATTACTGTGCCTGCATTTCTCCTCAGCCATGAGTGACATTCAGCATTTCATGAGCAAAAGTACATACTGGAAAACTAGTACCTTGGACTACTGTACTTTTGTTAGGGTTAATTAATTTTTAAAATTGTGTGTGCCTGAGGGATAAAAATAATTATTTACAAATACTAGCTTAATATCACTAGTACCTACCTCATGATGCTATAATTGCTGCGAAGCAGCCAATTCATATTCTTGACAGCAATTTGACCTCTGAAAGGTCATTGTTTGTCAAAAAACCTGCGCCTAAGACAACTGAAAAGCGGAGTTTCCTTCTTTCGTTCTGCCGGGTAAAATCAATTA